CTAGCCGCAGTTTGGGGCTTTTTTGTTGTTGTTGTTTTGTGTTTTTGTGGGTTTTGTTTTGTTTTTTTGTTTTGTTTTTGTGCAGCGATTTTTGACAAGTTCTACTTTGAGGTGGAAGGCTTGATCATCAGCCCGGTCTTACCACTTAAGACCTGACTAATGTCCCAGGGTTATTTACAGTTTTAAGTGGGGGGATAAATGACACATAAGGGAGCATCTCATTTTATGAAGTGTCGTTATGGTTTTGGGCTTGAAAGGTGGCTGTCAAAAGAGCAGGTGTGAAAATTGATTAGGGACCGTTTGGTATCTCATGTTTAGAGATCCTTATCAGATTATGGCGTCTGGGGGTCTGATAGAGAAGCCAAGTACAGGAAGATTTCTAGGGCAGGTCCCACCCTCTCCACCTTCCTCGCATTCCCCTTTCAGTGAAGATGGTCATACTTCTTAGTGTCTTGGTACAGGAAAAGTTTGCCGTTTTATGGGAGGGAATCCCAAATATACTTAGTTGTAGTCTTGTCAACCTCTTAAAACATTATGTTTATTAATAATATACTAGCGATCTGGAGAAATTCAATTTAAATAAGGGAAGGTTGAAAACTGCAGAGAAAATTATTCTGAGCGTTCTCTTGGATGGGTTTTATTTGAATTTATATGTAATCTCACAGTCCAGTTTTTCTGTTTTCCCAAGTATTTCCATATTTGGAAAGAAAGAAATCTTAAATGGTGAGGTAAAATATTTTGCGTTGAGTACATTAAGCAACATTAGAAAGAAACATAACTCGGTTAATTTTGGTGTTAGGAGTTTTGATAAGTTCTGCTCTGTTTAACTATTTAAATAAGTTAAAACTGTAGTGAAGAAGCCAGTACAAATTCTACTCTGCTTTTTAAAATATACATTTTAGGCTATATACAGTATATGTCATTTCTTATATCTAACGTCTGAAGGTAGATGCTACTGAGCAGGCACATCTGGTTGGAAATGGACTTTAAAAATAAGAGCATTTCCCTAGCCTATCACAAAATAAGCAGAACAGCACTGCTTATTTTTTTCAAATAAAATGTGCATAATTCTCCAGGAGGTTGTGCCTTGAAAGGGTTAGGTGTGGGAGGATTGGCACAAGGTGAAATTGTGAATTATGAGGTGCAAACAATTATACCGTAGCATTTATTAAATGTTTTATGTATTGATTTCCAGAAAGGCAATAACTCTTGATTGACAAAGGGTTGCAATTTTGAAGATCATGCTTTTTAAAAAAAGTTAAATACTTTGATATCAACTTGAACCTTTAGAATAATCATGTATAATAAATTACAATTCCTGTGGTTGCCAAAGCTACACATTTAGTGAGCAGGATAAACAGTCAAATTCCAATCAATTCAGTATAACTTTGTCCTTGCAAATGATCTGCCTTGTGCTTTTTAAATGTAGAACTCTGTATGGGAGCAGGGGATATAAGCTTTATTTTAGAATATGGAAACTATTCTTCTGATAATGGAGACTTTGATTTAGGAGTTACCTAAAGGGTTCATTTAATAGGCTGTCTCTCACTAATCGGATCAGAGATAATGTGATTTTATAGCTTATTATGTCCTCTTTTTTTTGTAGTTAATATTTGCCAATGGACTCCAAAGAATCCTTAGCCCCTTCTGGTAGAGAAGTCCCTAGCAGTTTTGTCCGTGAGAGGGGGAACTTGATGGACTTTCATAAAAGCCTGAGGGGAGGAGCTACCGTGAAGCTTTCTGCATCTTCGTCCTCACTGGCTGCTGCTTCTCAGAAGGATTCCAAGCAGCAGAGGCTTCTCCTTGATTTTCCAAAAGGCTCAACTAGCAATGCGCAGCAGCCAGATTTGTCCAAAGCCGTGTCACTGTCCATGGGACTGTATATGGGAGAGACAGAAACAAAAGTGATGGGAAATGACTTGGGATACCCACAGCAGGGCCAAATTAGCCTTTCCTCTGGGGAGACAGACTTTCGGCTTCTGGAAGAAAGTATTGAAAACCTCAATAGGTCAACCAGTGTTCCAGAGAATCCCAAGAGTTCAGCATCTGCTACTGGGCATGCTGCCCCTACAGAGAAGGAGTTTCCCAAAACTCATTCTGATGCATCTTCAGAACAGCAAAATCTTAAAAGCCAGACTGGCACCAACGGTGGCAATGTGAAATTGTATACAGCAGACCAAAGCACCTTTGACATCTTGCAGGATTTGGAGTTTTCTGCTGGGTCCCCAGGTAAAGAGACAAATGTGAGTCCCTGGAGGTCAGACCTGTTGATAGATGAGAACTTGCTTTCTCCTTTGGCAGGAGATGATGATCCATTCCTTTTGGAAGGAGATGCAAATGAGGACTGTAAGCCTTTTGTTTTACCGGACACTAAACCTAAAATTAAGGATACTGGAGATCCGATCTTACCAAGCCCCAGCAGTGTGACGCTGCCCCAGGTGAAAACAGAAAAAGATGATTTCATTGAACTTTGCACCCCTGGGGTAATTAAGCAAGAGAAACTGGGCCCAGTTTATTGTCAGTCAGGCTTTTCTGGGACAAATATAATGGCTAATAAAATATCTGCCATTTCTGTTCATGGCGTGAGTACCTCTGGAGGACAGATGTACCACTATGACATGAACTCAGCATCCCTTTCTGAGGAGCAGGATCAGAAGCCTGTTTTTAATGTCATTCCACCAATTCCTGTTGGTTCTGAAAACTGGAATAGGTGCCAAGGATCTGGAGAGGATAACCTGGCTTCCCTGGGGACAATGAACTTCCCAGGCCGATCGGTGTTTTCTAATGGCTATTCCAGGTAAGTTAATGCTCTTCTGTTTCATAAGAATGATGTGCTTCGGATAGTTTGATCATTTTAAAACTCATTTATCAGATTGTGTTTTCTAGAGATTTGTATTCTTTTCCAATATCTGAGTAGAAATGGTCTTTTGAAAGTAGAAAATCTAAAGGACTCACCTGTGCAGAAACACTTTGGGTGTTTGATTAAATAGTAATAGTTTCTCACTGATCAGTATTGAAGATTTTATGTGAAAATTTTAAATCAGAATTGTTCAGTAACAAGTATTTTAAGTAAAGCTAACATGAAGTCAAGAAAATATGATATCTAGTCATATAATACATTTATTGTGAATATTAGTTTAGCTGCTTTAGAATACATTATTACAAGAATTGGTTACCAAAGTTAAAAGTTGCTTTGCTATCTGTGTCCTGTGTGGAGTGTTACCTTTCAATTAAAGGGTTAAGAATTGGAAATAGTAACACTGAGCCCTATTATTCCACCTGAACCTTCTGAGGTACTCACCTATT